GTTAAAAACCAAAGATGTCACCTTGAAGACTAAGGTGTGCCTGACCCAAGCCATGGTGTTTTCAATCGCTTCATACACATGCGAAAGCTGGACAATGAATAAGGAAGACCAAAGAAGAACTGATGCATTTGAATTATGGTGCTGACGAAGAATACTGACTATACCATCGACTGCCGGAAGAATGAATAAATCTGTGTTGGAAGAAGTACAGCCAGAATGCTCCTAAGAAGTGAGGATGGGGAGACTTCATCTCACATACTTTGGACATGTTATCAGAAACAACCAGCCCATGGAGAAGGACATCATGATAGGTGTCATGGATTGAACTGTGTCTCCCAAACGTGTCAATTTGGTTAGGCCATGATTTCCAGCATTGTGTGGTTGTCCTCCATTTTGCAATTTGATGTAATTTTCCTATGTGTTGTAAATCCTAATCTCTGCCTGTGGTTTATGAGGCAAGATTAGGTTATGTTAAAGAGAATTAGGGTAGGATGCAACACCCTTACTCAGGTCACATCCCCGATCCAATGTAAAGGGAATTTCCCTGCATCACCTTTTATCTTACAAGAGATAAAAGGAAAGAGAAACAAGTAGAGAGACAGGGACCTCATACCACCAAAAAACAAGAGCTGGGAGGGAGTGTGTCCTTTGGACCCAGGGTCCCTGCGCTAAGAAACTCCTAGGCCAGGGGAAGACTGATGACAAGGACCTTCCCCCAGAGCCGACAGAGAGAGAAAGCCCTCTCCTGGAGCTGGCACGCTAAATTAAGACTTCAAGCCTCCAAGACTGTGAGAGAATAAATTTCTCTTTGTTAAAGCTATCCACTTACGGTATTTCTGTTACAGCAACACTAGATAACTAAGACATTTGGTAAGGTAGAGAGTCAACGAAAAAGAGGAAAGCCCTCAATGAGATGGATTGATGCAGTGGCTGCAACAATGGGCTCAAACATAGCAATTATCGTGAGGATAGTGCAGGACCAGGTAGTCTTTCATTCTGTTGTACCTAGGGTCGCTATGAGTCGGAACCGACTGTACAGCACCTAACAACAACAACAGGCATAGGCAAGGAACTAGACGTACGTATGCGTGGTAACATGGATGAATCTTAAAAACATGGTGCTGAGTAAAAAAACGGAAGAAACAGAATGAACGCCATACCATGATATAACTACATAATTTAAAATGCAATGAGTGGCCCAGGGAGCACCGTGTGGGAACTACTGCTCACAGGCACGCTGAGCTGTGCCCATACTTGCCCACCCCAGGGAAGGAACGTCCACGCGCATCTGGGTGAAGCCCACACACACAGCACAGGAGCTGGCTTGCACGTGCTAAGGGCCACAGTGCCTTCATGGCAGGGACGGGCCTCGCATCTTACATATCTGTCAAATATCCTGAGGGCCTACATACAAAACAAATCTTTTACAACTAATAAAACAAAAATTAAACCCAGATAACCACCACATTACTCACTTATTTGTAACTTCTGAAATTTAACAACAAAAAGCTAAGTTAACGTCTACTCATTTACCCTTAAATATAAAACAAAAAGAAAGTTTAGTAAGGATATTCATCCTGTAAGGAAAGATATTCGAAGGCCCTGAAGAATTCATTTACATTTGCAGAATCAAGTATCAACAGATATGTTAATTAGTATCTTCTCATTAAACCAAGTCCCCATAATTTGTAAAGTTAGTCTAGCTCAGGAATTCCAAACCATCGGGATTTTGTAAACCAGTAAACCTTTTTTTCTCTTTTCTACAGGGCTACCAACTTTTCAACTTTGCCAAGCAAGCAAGAAAGAATGAGGGGGGAGAAAGAGAAAGAAAAGGAGACACAAAGGAGGAAAGGAAAAGATAAGCTACCATCTATAATTACCCTTAATTTCAGAAAACAATGATTTTTGTTTTTTAAATATCAAACAAACAAAAAGGCAGGCCATAATCTCAGGATTGAAGAGAACATTTTACTTTGAAAAAATGTAGTTTTAAAAAAACACACTTCATTATACTTATTTTTCTCATCTCACCAATATGGCAGACCTCTATTCAAGAGCTTCTACCTACATTACCACTAATGCCTGAAATAAAACTCTTAAATTCCTCTTAAAATAGTTAACTTAGGTCATTTGCCTCACTAGCTCATGAGTACATTCTGCTATGCCATTAAGTAAAAAAATCTCTGTATAACAAAAACATTTCTACAGTTCTGTCAGCAACTGGAGTATTTTACAAAATACTTGGAGATGACAGCTTCCATGCCCCCTGTAAGGCTCAGTGTGATAGCCCTGGTTGAGTCACAGCGAATTTCATTGTCAAAGGAACTGGTGTAAGCTGAGTCTAGTTGTCTTAGCCAGATAACATGCTTCTTTTGAAACGTTTCTGTGTTCCAGAAACCACAGGCTACCCCCACAGAGGTGCTAGTATGCTTTCCTCTTGATGGCTGGCCCAGGGCTGGCTATGTCCTCCTCTCCTGCATGCCTGGAGGGCAATTTCTACTACAGCACCTTGAGAGCCCAGGAGGGACAAGCTTCTGTGTTTGCATTTGCTTGTCAATCTGAGGCATCTCTGGTTATACCTAGAGCATCAGCACAGGAAAAGGATCCCCTAACATCCTGACAACGCCCTTGGTATTCTATCTGGATTGTCCAGCACGTTATCACCCACATCTTCCAGAGTCTTCTCCAACAGTCAAGTGAAAGGAACTCCAAGTTCTGCTCCTTTATTTACTTTTTCAGGTTAACATAACCTTCAGACAGAAAGTAGCTTTCAAACACAAAAGTTGCCCATAAGATCATACAGTTCCATGAAAGAGTCCTTCAAAACACAACATTCTGCGGTAGAGACTGTTGCCAAGAGAGACTCAGAATCTCAAATGCACTTTGTTACCTGTCTGCCCACAAATCAATTCTTTTTTTCTAAGAGTTATGATCAAAGTCCAGCTCTGTTACCTGACCTGAGGCCAGTTACATAACCTCTTGTGCCTTGATTTCCTCACCTGCAAAATGGGAACAATAAGCGTATCCATCTCATAAACCTATCGTGAGCACAAGGTAGACACTTCCATCACAAATGAGAGAAATTAGAGGGAAAAAAGGAATAATGGGCACCAAGCAAGTAAAAAACCCAGCAGACCAATTTACACTAGCTCTCAAGGCTTGAAAATAATCCTGTGTTTTCTGAGACCATTTAGGAAATGGTCCCGCCCTCCAAACTATGGGTGTTGGCCACACTCTCCAGATTCTGGGTGGAGGCCCCTTTGGCCCTGGGCTTCAACTCTGCTTTCCAGGCTCCCTGGGATGGCAACCCTGCTCCCTCGGATTTGGGAGGCCCCAATCTCATAAATCTGACTGGCAAACCTCCCCACTAGGCCATGACAGGCCCCATTCTTTTGTCCCTTGGGCACGGCAACCCCACCCCCCTCAGATCTGGGCAATGGATCTGGCACCTTCCCCCAGCACTCATGAATGGCAGGCCCACACTCTAGAACTGAGGTGGTGAAGATCAGACTCTTTAAAAGCAGGGAGGCCTTGGCTCCTCCCTGTAAGAGCCAGAAGGCCAAGGCTGCACCCTTTGAGACCCCAGAAGAGACTCTGAGGCAGGTTTGCTTCCCATGCTCCTTGTCTCCTCAGTTTCTGTTTCCTGGCTCCTTGGCCTCTCAGCCCCTTGGGCCAGACTGGCCTCTGCCCTGCTCAAGCAAATGTTATGAAGCTCTTTAGCTCTCCCAGTAAGTGCCCGGAGGCAACCTACTCCACCAGGAAGCCTCCTGCCTGAAGGCATTTAGCCCTCTTGTTCCATGGGTCAGTTCCCACAGTCTCGCACTGGTCTCCTGGTTCTGCTGCCACCGTTTCTCTGCTGCTGCTGCTTCTTGCCGTCTGCACCATCTCCTCTGTTACAGCTCTCCTCACTTTCTTCTGAGTCCACACCAGAATTGTCTTTGATGTCCATAATTCCACCAACAGTCTCGTCAAGGCAATCTAGGTTTTACTATTAGGTACTTTAAAACTCTTCCAGCATCTACCCGTTACTCAATTCCAAAACCACTTCCACATTGTAGGTATCTGATACAGCCACAGGGGGAGGAACAACACAGAAAATGAGGGTGAGAACGGCTCCACAACTCGAAGAATGTAATCAATGTCACTGAATTATACATGTAGAAATTGTTGAATTGGTGTATGTTTTGCTGTGCATAGTCTCAACAACAACAAAATAAATAAAATTAAAAAAAAAAAATCATGTTCATTATAATACACCCAACATCTAATTGGACTGTAGTGGGAGAGCCTTTTAGGAACATCTAATACTGCTGGAGGAGCCCTAGTGGCACAGTGCTTAAGAGCTACAGCAAGCTACGGCTGCTAACCAAAAGGTTGGCAGTTCCAGTCCACCAGGTGCTCCTTGAGAATCCTAAGGGGCAGTTCTTCTCTGTACTATAGGGTCACTATGAGTCGTAATCGACTCGACAGCAATAGGTTTTTTTGGAATACTGCTGGAAAAAGTGTTTCTCTCCCTTTTTCACCTAGTATCGACTTGGAGTGAGCACCTTGGATGACAACCACGACAGTGTATACGCCCTGGCTCGTTTGTTCCCTGCGAGTGAGGTAAGGCATATAGCCCACTACGCAGACATGACCGTTTTCATTTTATCTGGATTACACTTTGCTTTGGAAAGCCCAAGTAACTTGCCCACAGACACGCATACAGCATCTCAAAAGCAGACACAAGGGGATCAGAGAGTAACCAAAATAAACAACACTGTTAATATAATTAATGCCACTGAACTGAACACTTAAAAATGGTTAAAATGGAAAATTTTATGCTGTATATATTCTAACACAATTTAAAAAAAGAAAGAAACTGGAAGACAACAGCCCATATGCATTCCTTAAAAACGAAGTTCTTTGCTGTCACCCATCTGTGAACTTACCCCTATATAATGTATTTGCGTAAATTATACAATAAAGTTGAAACAAAAGGAAAAAGAAAATTATCTTACCTTCTGTGGAAATTTCTTGTTTAAATCTTGTATTCAGGCAAAACATGAAAACATTTGGGAGTCTTCTTGGAGTATATGCAACTTTAAGAAAATTTTTTTCATTCAGTGGAAGATTTCTGTATAATCTTTTTGCCTGAAAAATAAGAGGAAAAAAATTTATTTTAAGTTCTGCCTTTGTAAAATTAACTTACCAAAAAGGCAGGCAAAGGAAAAGGAAAACATCAGTAAAGAAAGTGTAATCATTTTACTCGAGTCCCTGGGTGGTGCAAACGATTAACATGCTCGCTGCTAACCCAAAGGTTGGTAGTTTGCGTCCTACAGGCACTTCGGAAGAAAGTGATCTATTTCCAAAAACTCAGCCATTGAAAACTCTATGGCATACAGTTCTACTCTGACACACATTGGGGTCAACATTGAGTTGGAATCGACTCAAAGACAAATGGTTTGGTTTTTGGTAATCACTTTACAGAAGTCAATTTATCTTTACTTAGTATTCAAATTATCAGAAAAGTTTTTGATTAAGGAACTAAAAACTCCCTTGTCTTTGCCTGTTCTAAAGAGATTCGTACCAATCATGTATACCCATTCCACATCTGGCTGACTGGCTCAGTGGTTGGAATCACACTAAACAATATAAGGCTATGAGAAGGATTTCTATGAAGCTGCCTGCAGTTTCCTAACTATACACTACCACTACCTAGAAATGCACATCCTTGGTCACAAGGAGGAGCCCTGGTGGCTCAGTGGTTAAGAGCTCAGCCACTAACCAAAAGATCGGCAGTTCAAGTCCACCAGCTACTCCTTGGAATCCTTATGGGGCAGTTCTACTCTGTCCTATAGGGTCGCTATGAGTTGGCTTGGTCACAAGGATGACTGAAAAGCTCACTGATAATACATCACAACTTCTCAGAGGAAAGATCTCAAAGGTGTTCCAATTGTGGTCTCTGACTACCATTTCCAAATAAAGTGGGTTACCTGTCTTTTTGTTGTTGTTTAAGTTTTATATATATTTTATATATTTTTTGATTATTAGTTTCTTGTCGGATATATGGTTTCTGAAGATAGTCTCTCAGTAGCTTGTCTTCTCACTTTTTTTGGAAAATCTTTTGATGAACAAAATTTTTTAATTTTTATAACATCCCACTTATTTATTTTGTCGTTTGCAATATCAAGAATCTTAAAACACACAGCTTGTTCAGGGTAAGGTCACGGAAGCTCCATGGACAAATTCAAACTCCCTTAGGGACCAAATTAGTAGGTGGAGGGCTGTGGGGTTCCATGGTCTCAGGGAACATCTAGCTCAATTGGCATAACACAGTTTAAGAAAATGTTCCACATTCTATTTTGATGAGTAGTGTCTGTGAGCGGCCATCTAAGATTCTCCACTGGTCTCACCCCTTCAGGAGCAGGTGAAAATGAAGAAAACTAAAGACACAAGGGAAAGATTAGTCCCAAAGGACTAATAGACCACAACTACCACGGCCTCCACCAGACTGAGTCCAGTACACTAGATGGTGCCCAGCTACCACCACTGACTGCTCTGACAGGGATCACAATAGAGGGTCCCAGACAGAGCTGGAGAAAAATGTAGAACAAAATTCTAAGGCAAAAAAAAAAAAAAAAGACCAGACTTACTGGGCTGACTAGAGAAATCCCGAAAAGTATGGCCCCCGGACACCCTTTTAGCTCAGTAATGACGTCCCTCCTGAGGTTCATCCTTCAGCCAAAGATTAGACAGGCCCATAAAACAAAATAAGACTAAAGGGGCACACCAGCCCAGGGGCAAGGACCAGAAGGCAGGAAGGGACAGGAAAGCTGGTAATAGGGAACTCAAGGTTGAGAAGGGAGAGTACTGACACGTCATGGGGTTGTTAACCAATGTCATAAAACAATATATGGACTGTTTAATGAGAAGCTAGTTTGTTCTGTAAACCTTCATCTAAAATACAACTAAAATATATATATAATAAATAATCATGAATTAAAAAAAAAAAAGAATCTTAAAACAAATCTTCTGAACGAAAAGAGATTTGTACAATAATGTTGCCTGGGAGCCTGCCTGGCCAGTACTGTCGTCCCCCCACTCTCCAATCACACAGGGATGGTGTGGTGTCGGCCGGAAAGCTGACCCCACACTCACAGACCCCAGCCTGAAGCACTCCTCCTCAACCCTCACAGGGCACACACAGCATGAGCACAGCCAAAAGGAGTTCCACATTTCTTGACACAGAAGGGCTAAAGGAAACAACTCCACCACTAAGAACACCAAACACAAAGTTCTTCGCCAATAAATCGGAAAAAGGAAAGCTGATGAACGAGCGCCACCTCTGGACACTGTCAGCACTGGAGTGCTGTGGGCAGGTCTGCCTTCTCCCGGAGCACACAGCGCGGTGGAACACAGGCCCTACACCAAGCCCCACTGCTGCCCCCTCGGAGGCCTTCAGGCAAGTCACGAATCCTGTCTGAGCCTCAGTTTACTCGTCTGTAACAATCAAGCCATAACTATTTCTGAACACCGACTCTATGCCAGGAGCCAGGTGAGGCACCAGACAACACCGAAGAACAAGCAGGAATGGGGCCCTGTGCCCAGGGCAGTGCAGAGGAGATGAGAGCTCCCGTGAGCGCGTTAAGCCTATGGTGGGCAGCTGGCTCAAGTGCCCTCGTCCCAAGAGCAGGCTGTTTGCATGGCTGCACATTCCTAGGGCCTCAGGGTCCTACAGCAGCAACTGCCCATCCCAGCAGAGGGAGCTTCAGCAGGTGCCTCCTGCAGTCTTGGCAAGATGATTTCAACACGCAGCCTCAGCAGACAGCCTGACTGAGAGGCTGTCAGACTGACGAGTACCCCGTGGCCTCCAGCTTCCACAAGAATATTCCCCTGGCTATCAGGAATGACTAAGGTCAGACTCCGAGCGAAACTGAAAACTACCACTGGTCGGCACGGTCAAGGACGGGACTTTCAACGTGGGGAGGAGGGTCGTCCTCACCCGCTGCCATGGCCCTAGCCCCCACTCTTCCCTCCTGGAAGCCAAACACAGGTCCCCAGACAGCCAGAGAGCCCCTCCGGCAGGAAGGTGGCAGGCAGGCCAGACCAAGGCACTCCCACTCACAGAGGCCCAGGCCCAGGGAAGTCCAGCTCAGTCACTAACCGGCTCTGCATCCTGGGGCAAGTGCCCCGTGTCCGTGTAAAAGTGTGACTCCATGACAGAGTTGTCATTGCCACCAAATGCCTCCTGGGGCCCAGGAGGAAAGGGATCAACAACAGGGAACCAGAGACACCCCACAGAAAGGCCACAGTCTGGGTTCTGCCCCCAAAATAACAGACGGAAGAACAGACAGGGTGCACATACTACATTTGTTCTCAACACTATACTCCTGAGAGAATCAGAGCCAGAATGAGGAGTCCCAAGGCCAGGCGGGGCACACTCAGAGCTGGAAACAGGCTGGCTGGCTAAAAGCCTTGTCAAACAGCAGAGAACAGCACCAAAAACACCAGGGAAGCAGCTGGGGCCATAAGCGCAAACTCAAGTCTAAACAAGGAGACGCATGAGAGAGGTAAGCGCCAAAGGCCTCCATGACGTGAGATCTCCCGCCAATCACAGGAGGATCTACTCTCAGGGAGACCAACCCACACACGGCCCCACCCGAGCCCATGAGTGCTGCCACTTAATTCAGTGCAGTGGGTAGTAGGATGCTAGCCTGTGGCGAAATGAGTTCCTTTATGTGGTCTTTTGCCCTGGTTCTTTGGAATAACAGCTTGAGAGGTTTTTACCCTAAAGCCCCGAGGATTTACCTTTGCCCTAGTTTTCCACCCCAGAGGGTTCATTACTTTTGCCCAGGTTGACTGACATTTCCTGGGAAAGCTGTAACAACTTGATGGTTTGATACTTTTCGTCTGGCCCTGGGCAGCAGCCTGCTCTATGACCAGTATGCACCTTGCTGGGACTGGTCAATAGAATATGCAAATGAAGTTATCTGTAGTCTACTATGCAAATGAGGTATCTGTGGCCTACTAAGATGGGAGAGGGGATTGGTAGGTTCATGGCCTTAGTGGGATGGCCGTGCCTTGAAACCGACAAGGAGTAGCGCACAGCTGCAGCCACTGCCACAGAGGTTTTGCGACTGAAAGAGGCAGGAAGAGAAGCAGAAGGAAGAGGGAAGAAGCAGAGAGAAAGGAACCTCTTAAAAGAGCTATAACATGGGTCAAGGGCTGTAACACTGAAGACAGCAAAAGAACCGGAAGGGGCTCCGTGGCAGAGCCGGCAATGACAGGCCCAGAAGGGATCCTGCAGCAGAATCGATGACAACAGACAACAGGGCCAAGAGGAGGCCGAGAGGAGCCTGTCCTCAAGGGGCCGAGGGGAGCCTGTCCTCAGGGGGCTGAGAGGAGGCCTGCATGGCCAAGAGCTGAGAGAGCTGTTCTGCACTGAAGGCTGACTTTGCCTACAAGGTTCCTGACCCTGACCCCAAGTTGTAACCAGCTGATCCTGATCCCGAGTTGTACCGTTACATCCTTAATAAGCCACTTAACTGTAAGTATGGTCTATGAGTTCTGTGTGGCCACTGCAACAAATTATCGAACCCAGAAGAGAAGGAAAGAGTGCCATGGCAGGGACAGCTGGTGTCATAATTGGTAAAAAGGTTGGACAGTGAAGGTATGTCTGACCTCCACCTCATGGTAATCAGCTTTGGGCTGATCCTGGTCATTGTCGCCACCCAAAGTTAGACTGGTTCTGACGCTACTACTATCACTACTACTACCATTTCACACAACCCCATTCAGATACAAGTAGAGACCTGTCACTGCAGAGCTGGCCCAGGGTCACAGGTTGGTAAATGCCAGGTCTAGCACTGGGACCCAGGCTTGTGGACAGCAAAGTCCACATCCTCAATGTCCACCTCATACCCTAGATGCTGGCCCAGCTGAAGAGGGAAAAAGGAGCCATCAAAGGAGACACAGGAGTGCTCAAGAGGGCAGGTAATGACAGGAAGCACCACAGGGCTGGGTCGTCCAGAAAGGCTCCAGGAGAGGAGTAAAACAAGGGACAGGGCAGGCCACTTGAGGTGGACACAAGGCCATAAGGAGAGAGAGACAGTGTTCAAAATGCAGCAGTCAATGGGTTTCTGTTTGGGGTG